AATTTACACTATCCTTATAACTTCTAGAGGTGCTTAATTATTGGGATAAGGTGATACCTGAGGTTGGTGTTTGCGACCCAATATATCAAGGATAATTTTATCTTTGAGATAAGAATCTTTAAAATCATTTATAAGTACCTAATATATATGTGTAGTGATTCCATTAGATATTGGAAGTAAGTTAGCGAGATGCAATGAGTTAAAGAAAAAATTGACCTCATTTATCATGTGTGTTTGTGTTTGTATCATATGTTTGTGTTTAGATTTTGATGCGCCTAAAAATTAACTACTTTTTCATATATATTTTATGCTAAATTTTAATGATTTTTAATGATATTACACTTTAAAGGAAGGTATTTTGCATATTTTTGGTTTCAGGTACAAGAAATGAACTTTTGGAGAAAATGAAGCAAAAATGGTGTAATTTAGAGTAAAAGCGAGCAAAAAGAAAATTTTGACTTGACACATTTCGATGTCTTGCTATGCTTATTCTAATTTACATTTTTCACATGTTTTGAATGAAATTACACTTTAAATAAATGTTATTTTCATGCTTATTTTTTAGGTATACCTGTTATGAGTGAAATGCAACTAAAACGGGGTGAAACGGAGTTGAAACACAGCCAAACGAAGCTAAATGGTGGAGCTCCAGCAGAGTGGCGCATGATACCCCAAACCAACGCATGATGCACAAAAATCCAGAGAACTGGCGCATGATGCACTAGAGATGACATTATTTGGATTAAGACAGTTCGGGATGAATTTTGGGTGAATTTTCAAAGGAACACTTATTCTAAACAACTTGGAGGGATTTAATGCATCTAGATACTTTGAAAGGTTTTTTATGAAGGGATATGCCTCTTGGATAAATAGACATGTATTTTGAGTTCAAAAGAGTTGACATTTGGATATAATTTTGGAGGGAAATTTGAATTCTTTTTGGAGGGAGGCAACCTTTTAAAAAATAGAGAGAAGTCTAGGGCTGTAAGAGGAGTTTTGGGGGGTGGCGCGCGCGTGTGTGTGTGTGTGAGTGAGTGGCGTGAGAGTAAGAAGAAGAAAAGAGAGAGAGAGAGATAGAAATTCAAGAGCTTGGAGATTTTCTTCAAGGATTGTAAGAGGAGAGGGAAGGTGACAAATTTCTTCTTCATTATATTTCTAGGAGAGATATGAGAATGCTTGTAAGGAGTGAGAGGATTGAAGAGAACTTCTAGGGATTTGCTTAGGAAGATTTTTGATAAGTTGTGTTCTTTTATTTTTTTTTATTTTGTAAACATGTTTTTATTAATAAAATATATGTCTTGTTATATCATTCTCATGAATTCAGAGTAGTCTTCTTTATCCTTCTCCCTACTTTGAGAGCTAGTTTTGTGAAGAATTGATTTTATTTTATATGGTTTTAAATGTCAAAAATTTGTGATCATTAGAACTTTGATCTTCGTTTACTTTTTGATTAAGCCAATTGAAATGGTAATACGTGTTGAGAAACATATGTTCCGAAAGGGCTTTGATTTCTACAACATAGTAAGAATCAGTAAGAATCACATTTAGAATCACATTTGATTTCATGGGAGAGGATTTCATCCATGGAGTTGAGAGAAAATTAATGAGGAAATATACTTTGTTTAATTGAGAATTGAAGATTTTAGGTCACAAATTAAAATCTCCAATTTGGTCCTGCTGATTGGAAACTAATGCGATATTGTTAGCCCTCAGGTGAGGGAGTAGGGGGACCACACTCTAGATTAGTCAATGATCTTTAGGCACATAAAAGAGGGTAAAGAATAGGATTGCTCCTATTTGGCACAAAATAATTTTTATATATTTTTAAATTATTTAATTTCTTCACAATTCATATACTCATTGTAAAGGGGAACCATGTTTTCTTAAATTTGAACTCTTCATCACAAAACTCTGTTTAGTCTTAGTAAATTTAATTTTGAAGTTTAGAAATTAGTTTAATTAACTTAGTTCTTTTAGTTACATTTCTATTAGCATTCATTAAACCTATTTTAACTTATCTTTCTTACTTTAATTTTTATAGTTTGGATATTGTGATTTATGTTATTATCATAGAAATGTCCATCTTCCAAACTAAGACTTTATATTAGTAGACTAGAATTAGCCTAAGGGATTTGTTACTGCGCTTCTATGTGGGATTGATACTAGGGTTTTTGAAGAAAGCCCTATATTACTTGAAGTGATACATGCACTTGCATAGAACCACTAGTGTGTGAACTATTTTATATATTTTATAAAAATTTGATTTTAACCACTAAATACAAATTGGGTCAAGATTTTGACCATATTTTTGAAAGCTAAATTATTGTGTAATTTTGGGAGGGGTCAAGCTTTTAGCACTACTACTGGGGATTTAAATTGACATAAAACACAAAAAAAAATAATACACATTAGGAATGCATCAGTTTTTGAAGCAACCCTTGGTAAAAATGTGGGAAATTGCCCATGGACATAAAAATTCATTCAATTGGCTTTTAAAGGAGGCAACTTCTAGAAGATTCATTGAATGGAGACACCTTTTTGAAGAGACACCAAGGCACCCCTTGGAGTTTTATAATAAATGACTTAGATTTTCGAAGAGAGGAGGCCAGCCACCCATCAAATTTACAACCATCATCCATCTAAGTCATCGCTGCTACCGCCACCAACCACTTTTCTTTTTATTTTGAGTGTTAGTTTGTATTGTGAGTGAAGGAAGAGCATTCAAGGGAACTTCAAGACATTTGGTGAGAGGATTTAAGATAAGTGTTTATCTTTGTGACCACACTTGATTTTAATTTAGATTTCTTATTTGTGTGCATTATTTCTACTTTTAAACTCATACGTGGTTGTGTTTGCTTCCTAGATTTTGAGTAGTTTTCTTCATTTTTTTCCTTAAAATGATAAGTGATTAAGTGTTGAAAGGAAGTTGTGTGAATTATTAAGCTTCAATGTTGGAAGAAGTTGTGATGATTTGAAACCTTGCACTTCATTTACTTCTTAATTTGGCTAATTAAGATGCTAATACCTGTTTTGAGAACATGTAAGATCCAAAATGGTATTGTCTCAGTCAACAAATGGTTAGAATCACATGAGATTGTATGGATGAGAATGTAATTCTTATGATTGAGTGCAAATAAAGCAGTGTACATAAATAGGGAAATAAACTGTTCAATGGTGTAGAATTAGAGGAATTTAGAATAACAGACTAAATTCCCTAATATGATTTAAAGTTTTAGGTTTTGATACGAAATGTTAAACCCTAGGTGGAGGGAGAAGAGGGAACTCTAGAGTGAGAGCTAGTATCTTTATTGCCTAGCTGGTCTTCAAGACTAATCAAACTATAGATTAGTCAATGTTCTTTATAGTATCTCTAGTAAGAGTAAAGAATACTATTGCTCCTATTTGACACAACACATTTAGAATACTTAACAGAATTGCTCTGCTTATTACTGATTCATGATAATGAAAAAGATATTTTATTTATATTGCCTTCATCTTGCAAGTATTTAGTTAAGTTAATTAGTTACTTTATTTTCATAAACCAAAAATTACAAAAAAAAATTACAAAAAGTTACAAAAAGAATCAAACTTGCATTCCTATTTTAGCATCTTGGGTTTAAGTAAGAATATTTTGCTAAGTAGACTTTTATAATTTAAAATTTCTAAATTCCGAAAAGCATATAGCCATTTTTCCTGTGGATTCGATATTCGGGGCTTGATAAAAAAATCCTATATTACTTGATAACGATACATATACTTGCGTAGTATCCCATATTTAAAATTAAAATATATTCTTGCTTGTTTCATAGTGGAAAACTTACCTAGCTTTTCCCTTTGGATCAAGTTTTTGACTTTGTTGCAAATTAAGAATAACTTTTAAGAAATTTAAAGCATATAATCGTATACATCACATTTTACATCTATATAAAAAGTCAAGAATCAGTATACTGAATTCTCTGAGAACTCACACCTGCATAAAACTGTAATTACTAACTTATATTATCAGTTTCTACTTGTGTTATGTCTAATGGGATGTCTTTTAAAGCATTTAGAAAAGATAAGTTCGAGGATTTTTGGTACCTCTCGTGGATTGCAGTGTTACTATAGACTTTATTGTTCCGTGCTAACTTCACGTTAGCCACATAGCTAAGGTAGCCAATTCTAAATGTGCCCGCAAAGAATCACAGCGAAATGTGATTTTTTTTTTTGTGGGCAGATAGGCTGAAAGTTTACACCGCCAAGAGTGATCGAACATGTAGAGTATTCCTTGAGAATGACTTAGCTCGTGACATGCGTCACAGTATTTTCAAAATAAGATTATCATATTATTAAATTTTATTTTAATAATTTGTTTATTAATTATTGTAATCATGATACTAATTGTTAAGTTGGGTGTATATTTTTATTTTTGTTTTTTTTTTGTCGTGGATTTTTGCTTTTAAAGTATAAAATATATTAGTACAATAGGTATGTTGCAAACAACATTACAATACAGGAGAAAAATGATCATTTATATAGAAATAGCTGCAATACAGTTGTTTTAAAACTGCAAAAATCAAATAAATAATGACTTATCCATAGAAGTTTTTGTCCGACAACTTTTTTATTGCAACTATTGCGAAATAACTTATTATTAGACTGTAATTGACCAATAAGACTCATAATTTGAGTTCAGACACACAGTTATGTCCGGACTCTTGATGTAATATTTTTTTGAACATATAAGAGCATTTATTATTATGAAAGTGTGAATTTGGTGAGGTGCTTGGTTGAGAAAACTATAATTTTGAGGGCTGCAATACCAATAAATAGGGCGCCAAATTTTTACTAGCAAATAATTATAAAATAAAATTTATCATTTGGAATCCATATCACTTCACATAATATATATAATTAAAAAATAAAATATATTCTCCACGCATTTCTGGCCCCGACTAAGTACCGCTTTTGCATTTTACGTCTGGGACTTCATAGCAAAGAATCAAATACCAAGACAGAATATTAGACTAATGGAAACGAAGCCAGCTCATTAGCAATGTAAAAGGAAGCGAGTCATGTGAATTCTCTGAACATATTATTGAGTTTAGGCTTTTTTTCCTAGAAAAGAAAAAAGAAAATCTAAACGCAATAATTGTTCAGAGCATTCACATGACCCTGCTGCCTTTTGCACCTACCATAGCTCAGCAATCGACACATACAGCCCTCAAGATTCCCGTCAGCCAAATTTGCAGGAGATGAGTTTGACTTTGCTTCGCAACTTCTCGCTTATGAGAGACGGTGTCCCAGATTTGTGGCTGATGAGTCTGGCTTTTGCTTCGCAGCAGAGCATTCAAGAGAGAGAGAGAGAGAGAGAGAGAGATTGCAGTCGACGCCTATTGCTGTATTAGGTGCCAGACTCTTCTTCAACTTTCAAAATATAATGTACTGAAATAATATCCTCAAATTATTTCACTGGCCTTTTTCCATCAAAAGGATTCTAGCTATATGCATTACTGCACTTGCATGAGGTGTAAAAGCATTTGCAGTAATTAAATCATTTGTACATTTATAGCATTTTCATGCCAAATTTTGTGATTTTGATATCAGTAACTAAAACCAACAATTGATGGGCTTTTTTTTATAGGCAGAAAGGGTATCCAGCAGAGTTGTGAATTAGTTTCCTCTCGAGAATATGGGCAAGTCACCTCCGACGGTGTTTTACATCACGATCTGCTGTATTGCTTTCATCATATCGAAGATAATCATCTCCCTGCTCTGCTACAAAAGATGGGTAAGAAAGCGGAGGATAATTGAAGATAGTTTGACAGGTTAGTTTACCACTAGCTTAAAGGAAATTGTTCACCTTCTCAGCAAGCTTTTAATAGATCACAGCACTAAGATTGTTGAAGACAGGTGGAAAGATGGTAATGTTTCGATCACCAACAACTCAAGCTCTCAGCACAAAAGCTTTTATGAAGAAGACAATGAAGCTAACTAACAAAGACATCATTGGCTCCGGAGGATACGGCACAGTCTATAAATTAGTTGTAGATGAAACCACTGCCTTCGCTGTGAAGAGGCTAAACAAGGGGAATGACAATAAGGAACTTGGGTTTGAGAGAGAGCTCAATGCCATGGGAGACATAAAGCACAGGAACATCGTTACTCTTCATGGATACTATATTGCACCGCAATTCAATCTTCTTATATACGAGCTGATGCCGAATGGAGGTTTAGATTCATTTCTTCATGGTAATATAGTTCATCTTCCCACTGAAAATCGGAGTTTTATATCTTAATATTTTGATTATCTCATGAATCGTATATACAGGGAAATCAGCTGAAAAAAGTCCTCTAGATTGGCCTTCCAGGTACAGGATTGCACTGGGAGCTGCTCGGGGTTTATCATACCTTCATCATGATTGTATTCCTCACATAATCCACCGGGATATAAAATCAAGCAATATACTGCTGGATCTGAACATGGATGCGAGGGTGTCTGATTTTGGATTGGCAACGATGATGGAACCAGATCAGACTCACGTTTCAACCATGGTTGCTGGAACTTTTGGTTATTTACCTCCAGGTTATAAATAAGTTCTTATATATATATATATATATCTATTTTAATCTTTTTTTTTTTGCTGGATAAATGTAATTTTTCGGTTTTCTTTCGCAGAATATTTCGACACAGGTAGAGCAACAACAAAAGGAGATGTTTACAGCTTCGGCGTTGTCTTGCTTGAACTTCTTACGGGGAAAAGACCAACAGATGAATCATTTCTTGAGGAAGGCTCGAGGCTTGTTTCTTGGGTAACTCTTCTGAACATAATGCGAATACTTTTCACACTATATTGACGGACCTACGATCAACTACCATCACAATTTCACAGTACATTGACATTCATTCGTCATTTATTATTACATTTTTTTATTTTGAAATAATATTTTTTATAGGTTTTCAAACCATTGCCCACCCACTTAATTAGGGGTGTCAATTTTAGTTGATAGGTGGGGTATTTGTCTAACCCTAAATTATCCTAATCCCGATTTACTTCTATCTAAAATTTTCATTATATGGACCAAACTATATTACTAGAAGACTCATTTCAAAAACATCTTACTCACAATTTACTTCGTGACTAAACATAATTTTTTAAATCTGCACAGCCCAATTAACCTACCAATGACATGTTTAGCCTAATTAACTCGTCCCAAATCACTTAATTTTAATTTGAATGATAATAGGTCAATTTTGAGTAGATTTTGGTTTCTCCAAGTCAATTTGAATAATAATTAGGTCAGCTGTGAGTTAATTTTGGATTCTACAAGTCAACTCTAACCCAAACCATATTTTAATCGGGTCAATTTCTTACCCCAACCCAGCCCAAATAGCCAATTGCTCTCAAACTTGAATACTTTTAGTCTAGTTCAAATAAACTTGTCAAATCAATTTTTGACATCTCTAATTTTAATAAGCAGATAATCCAGATATGAATAATGAAAATTATTGTATGTACCCATCAAATAACTGATGCAAGTTTTTATAAAAATTTTGCCATTAATTACTCAGAGATACCAAAAAAATTTTCTTAATCTTGTATATAACATTGTTGTTTGCTTCTTACTTTTAATAGGCTGATGTACATAGTGTATTCAAGAAATAGAGATAATTTATCTCTCTAATTTTTTAACATAGCATCAAAGCCAAGATCCCTTGAATTTCTAATGATTCTAATTGAGACTCCAAGTTAGCAAACTACTTGAAACAAAATAGTCTTCTGCATTTGATTTATTCGCTTTCACAGTTATGTGATTACTCTACATCCAGTCACAATTCATTTATCGTGACTTATATGCCCCTATATGTCCCATCAACATCGTTGCTCCTCAAGCTAACACACCTCAATAATCTCATATTAGGGCACTACAACAATATGCAATTCTTCTTCAAATCAGCTCTTTAACATAGAAAATAAAGCCCTAATGCACAAAATAGGTGGGTTGAATGAAAGAATCAACAAACTTTCAACTCAGCATGATGGCCTCTACTCATCTAGGCTCATTATAAATGATTTTGAGAACTGGCCCTTACAACCGTCATACCATTAATCATATACCTTTCATTAGTATTGAATATCAATACTTCATAAACAACTTTTATAAAAATGTTTTTGACTACTCAATTCTTTGTTTTTATTGTACATGTTTTATTATTCTTTAAGGAATGAATTAAATTTTAAATTAGCTCCAGCCATAATGATTTGTGGGTTAAATCGTAAAATATAAGAGTAATTGTTGTTCAGATCCTTTATCACAATATCATTAATCTCCTATCATGATATTTTTAGTAGAATACTACATCTGGTTATATATCAATATTTTTCCTTATTATTTTCTCTCCTTACTTAACTAATCTTAAATTTAATCATTTTTTCGAGCGATACTTACACCATCTATATTTAAGCAATGGGTGTCATCAAATCACTTGAACTTCGAGAGTTACTTCACTCCAATGATCTGGCGGCAACAACGCCTCATTTAGTTTCTAAAATTCTTATTGTTCAATTGTTCACGCATAAAAATGGTTAATATTTATCCTTAAAAAAATTAATTGTCATTATTACTCCACTATTTTCTCTTTTCATGGGCCATCCACATGAAGTAAAGCTTTTTTTTTTTTCTGACAAGAAGATATGCATGAAAAACTTGTGACTATATATGAGATTCATGGTTCTAGATTAGGTAGTTTAACTGGAAAGTTGTTGATTGTAAATACGAAATTCATGGTTCTAAGATTTTATATTTAATCCAATTTTTATAACAGAACTTCTTATATTTTATCTTTTCTAGCACATTATTATTCTGCCACCAACTAATTTTATTTATAAAAACTTCGCTTTTTATTTATCCACGTACATTTTTTGCCAACTTGTTTACTAGTGCATGTTACTCTTAACCAAATAGAATTAGCTTCTTCATGAACATCTCAAAAATTCAAATCTTAAAGTTTTTTCATAAAAAAAAAAAAATGTAATTGCACCTTTTTACCTATCTAATTGTATGTCGATATTTCATTGTATTCTTCATCTTACAACTTTTCATCATAAAGTCCAGAACTAATAATCGATATTGAGTTCTTAAATTTTTACTTAATAATGAACTTTACAATCATTATATTTTTGTCGATCTCTTCTTCTTATAATAAAATAATCAGTTTGTGCTTTATTAGATCCATTCTTATAAGTAAAAATATATTCATCAATTTCTCTAATAAAGTAGTAACAATAACAAAGTTATATGCTAAAGCAAAATCTAATATGGTTCTACCTTTTTTGTTAACTCCAAAACCGTAGCCATCATAAATACTTCTACATATTTCTACCACTCTAAAAACATGTTTATTTACCTCTAATGAAAATAATTTTTTCAAGAGCTATCATTTGTATTAATTCTTCTAGATCATTCCAAAATTTTTCTTTTGAACTTATATCTAAACCTACTTGATAAGCATAAGCACTTGAAAAATTTTATAAAAGAAGCCCTAACATTTACACACAAATTTGAAGGAATCATGTAATTATTTTTTGACAAAAATTTTACGCTCTTGTCGCCTACTAAACACAACTCTCCACTTTTAACATCTGGGACTTAGGGCACAACAATGATAGTGTTCAATTATATGACACAGCATAAAATAATTGGTATGTATATGATATCATTGATTCCTATAGTTTTTTCAGTTTTAAATTTTATAACAAATTTTATTTTTATTAATCCTCGGGTGGCTAATTTTTCCTATTTTGTCTTTAATATTTCTAAAATACCATATAAAAATGATTAATTTTCTATTTCAATTTACTTCTTTTTCTAATCTTAATCATACTTAGAAATGATTCCTTATTTATTTTTTTAAGAATTTTTAGCTATTCAATCACCTTATCTAGGGATTTATGTGAGCCTAGCCATCATGAATCTGAATCACTAGCGACTTCATAAATAGATCATATCAAGTCATTAGTTTGAGCTCAAACTTATATTTGAGTGCAATTATTATCCATGTTAGAGCTCGAGCTTGACTTTACTCAACTTAAGTGCCCTTTGAGTTAGTTCTATCAACATTAGTTAAGATTTATGACCCATTGGACTAAGATGTTCTCCCTCCAACCCATTTCCATTGTCCCACCAAAGTAACCTAGCCCTATTCTGCATTTACAGAGTCCCGAACTCCCTATTGCGTCTCCAATAACATTCAAGTTGAGCTCAAGCTTAGTAAACTAGCTTAGGTCAAGTTTAAACACAAATTCAAGCTAAGCAATACCTAAATGATTTTGCTTAATTAAGCCAAAACTTAACTCGACTCGACTAGTTTACATCCCTAACATGATTAATTGTTCTTAACTCCAACATCAACTATGTAAAAGATTTTCAAAATACTTTTCTTGGTATTTCAATATTCTACAAGTTCCGTATTAGGGAATTCATTTATTCTTCCAAGTTCCATCTATTAGGGAATTCATTTATTCTTCCAAGTTCCATCTAGCAATAACTAAGATGCACTTTCAAAATTTACTCCTATAATACATCTTATAGTTGAATAAAAAATAATCTATTAATAACTATCTTACTTGAAATCCTTTTTTGTATGATGTTTATAAATTAAATATTTGGCTAAAATTTTGTATCTTGTTGGCCTTCATAGAAAATTTTGGGCACATAGATTGAAGGCCTCTGCCATTAGATTAATTTTATAATAGCATTTAGATTGTAATTTGTATGCTCTTGTATTATTAGCTTCTTTAAATATTTTCTTATGAAGGATCTTAAAAAAAACTAAAATCTTGTAAGCCATTTCTTACATGGAACAACTCATTTTCCTTAATTCAGTCTTATTCCACTTGTAACATTTTTCTTTTGATCTGATAAATTCTCCTTCTTTGTCCTTAAATTTTCTCATCTTTGGTCTTTCATGTAAAATGTAAGTGTTTTTTCTTTTGTTTTTTTTAGTTTACTATTCAACATATTGATTTTATAACATGATAGGAGTATCATTCATGTAATATTTTACTATTAAAATACTTTTAAGCAAACATAAATATGAATTTAATTCATGTGTTTCTTTTTACCCTTTTTTTTGTGCAAATGGAGACCATAACAATCATTTACCAGGGTAATTTTCTAGTTATATATAAAAATTAAAAATACTTAGTTATTACCTTTAATTATTTACATAGTCATCAATCTGAAGTGTGGGCTTAGGGCATCAGTTAAGTTTCTTCCATTATAACTATTCAGATCACATATTTGAACATCCCTTCTTAATTCATCAGTGGAGGATTTATAATTTCTATAGACATAAAGAGATTGTTATTTGACTGTCTTTCAATCTCTCTAAATAATGATATTGTGATAGATATCTATTTTTTTTAGTCTCTTGTTTCTCTTTTTGGGTCAATAAAAACTTATTCTTTACAATTCAGCCAATTAATTACTGATTCATGTGCAAACAAAACTAGATCCTACTTTAACTAAATGCATCTCAATTAAAACTATGTAATGATTAAGAAAATTCTCATCATTATTTTATTTTGGTGATTTTATTTTTATAGTTGAAGGAAAAGGGCTTAACAGTATTATTTTGGTCAGTAGCAACAATGATGTAGCTCTCCAAACTGTCCCCAAAAGATAAAATTTACAAGTTTGAAGCAAGTTCAATAAACTTATGAGGAACTTTATTTAATCCATGCAGTAGGGAAAAGATAAACAACACGTGACAAGTTTAGTAAATAAAATCAAGATACAAGATCAACCTGAACCCAAGCCTTGTCATAAAAGGTGAACGCTAACTATAGAAGAATTTTTTAACAACACATTGGAGAGTCAAGAAGACTCGAGGATATCATCTCAAATTTAGGCATCCATCAATAATGAAGATCTTTGTGGCAGGAGTTTCCAAAATAGCTACAAGGCTGAGTGGAGATCATCTTGGTCAAGTAGCTCTTTGGAATTTATTCTCAGATTACTATGTTTGATTTTTAAATTCTTGAGAAAGCCCCATCCTTGTATAGAGGTATATATAACTATCCTATAAAGTTTCAATAAATTCTGGAGGCTCAACTATTGATCAAATGGCTAAATCACAACTCTTTAAGATAAAGTTATTTCCAATATGAGGTTTAAGAAATTTTTATATGATAATTTTCAAAGGTCATTCTATTGAAGAAATAGAGTACAAGGTATGAACGGATGCACACAAGATATGAAAGGATGAAGAGAAAAATAATACCTAAAGGAAATAATTTTTGAGAAATTCAGAAATTATTAGAAAAGAATATTTTCCGTGAAACCAACAGCTGATAAACCCATCCATGAGGCATGGTCATTTCCAATCTCTTGAACCTCATGTTGTGTAAGATATCAATCCTAAAGACTTTACATAGGCTATGTCAGGGAGAGTTAGAAAGAAGTAATAAAATTGCAGTCAATCATAGTTATCAACTCTTAAAGCTCTAATCTCTACATTCCCTTTCTTCCCAAGAAAACAAGCCCATTGGTTGCTCCTTCATTTGCAGTCAATCATTGTTCATCAACTAGCTCAATCATTTTAAAGAGCTCCTTAGTTTGTCTCGAGAATCAAACAATCCTCCTCATTCACACCTCAATCTTGATTTGATTCTTCCTTCTTTACTTTGCTCATTATTAGCTGAAGAAAACTTACATTCAGTTAACGCTAAAACAAATACAAAAACAAAATTTTCACAACCCAAACCTTTTGCCCTGCAATGGTAATTCCATATCAAATATCAGAAATTTAATTTCACTCTACCAAACAAGAATATGCAAAGTAGAAAAATAACTAATAATTCTAAAAGCATAATTTATTTATGCTGTTCAGTTTTCATAGGAATTTTCAATTGCCCAACCAAACAGATCATATTATGCTGATTTTTTATACGTTTTGTATAAAATCGTTGCATTGCTTCTATGCTATTTTAATGCATCCCAAACATTCACGCATTGAAAGTATATTCTAATTTTTCAAAAATATTTCTAAATTCTTAGATAGTCTAGCATATAGTTGGATCGCCATAACAAACTACAGAAGGGAAGTGTGGCCTTCATACCTAAAGCGCCTCCGACATTAATTGTAAGATACTACCATATAATTTAACTATGGTTTCACGTCGTCTAAAGTTACCTGTGCCATATTTCAATTCCACAAATGTTTCTTCATAGAATCCTCAGGACTAATTATAAAGATATTTGTTGATATTTTCTTGTTCACTTGAGATGTATTATAATTCTACTCCTTGAAGGAGTACACTTCATTGTCTCTTACTGCCCAAAATTTATGACAGGTTAAGGGAGTAATGGAAGATCAGAGAGAGGAGCATGCCATAGATAGTGTATTAGTAAGCTTTCCAGCTGAAGAAGTCAAGGAAGTATTCTCGATTGCAGACAAATGTCTAAATCCAGATCCCTCAAAGAGGCCAACCATGTTCGAAGTTCTTAAAATGCTAGAGCAAATAAAATCAGAAAAATCTGATAATTTTATTTGATTTGTTACTTTTCGCAATGATTTTTTATCATGGAATGAGGAAAAACTTCTGCCAAGGATGGTTTGAACCTTCAAGGCTTCACTTTCATCTTAATCACAGGGTGGGCTCAATGAACCATATAATAAAACCAGCTCTGTTCAACATCACGACAAGATCTGTGAGGAAAAGAGCTTCTCGAAAGATGGAAGTCTCTGCATGGTACTTATATGGGGAAAATTGACGGAAGCAGTGAACAACATAATTAACCAGGTTATTTCGGCAAATTGGACTAAAATATTTTTATTATCAATCAAGCTCTGAGGATCAAATTTTTTTAGCAAAATTTGAACAAGACCAAGACCAGTGAACAGAAAGAATCCCATTCCATGGTATGTATCGCCATATAGACAGAATGAAAGAATGCATTGATATGTGCCATATGTCCATAACTTAACATTCAGTCCAAGGTGAATAAGAAATGACTCTGAAGAGAATCACAAATGTGCTCGTCTTTGTGCCACATCCTTATTCTGTGCACTCTACATGAACTAGGATTTTCATCTCCATGCTTCAAGCAGATTATCTCGTCCTTGAATATTGTTTGTGCGCTTCTTTAGCATGAGTGTGCCAATGAGCTACAAGGTCTGCTCGCAATTATTTTCTTAAATATTAATTTTCTATTTTTTAATTGCTTTGAAGTGTCCAATTCACTACCCCATTGCTTTCGGTGTGCGCGCAAGGGGCAAAGCTTTGGGTGCTAGCTTCTTGATGACGCAAACCGAGAAGAGACTGCTATGGTATATGAGCGTAAGAAATAATTTGGTGTAAATTGCCATGTAACAATCCCTTAAATTTCTCACATCAGGTAACTGAAAAAGGAGAGAACATATTGGTATTGTCTGTCACAGCCAAAATATATTTAAAGCAACTATTTCGCACAAGACGAAATAACTGTGGTTGCGCAGAATCAAGTTTTTTCAAATCGACCTGTTCGTTGAACATTTTAAGTACGGAAAAATTGCATTATAAATGTTCTATTAAGGTCTTTTGGATTAAGTTTGCAAGAAGCTGAGTTGAATATATAGTCAGTGAAGATTCACAAGGTTGGCTTTATTTAAACTTTAATCTTCCAAAAACGTAGCCTTAGTCAATTTGTAATAGCCAGATTTAACTGATTTGTTTGTTTGGGCTCCTTCAATTTTTTTGGGTTTATGGTTTTCGTCGCAGACAATCATGCATATCTAACCAAAAAAATGCATTATGAAAGAAAAAACCCAGGATCTCATGATGTAGTGTAAATTTCTAATTGTACTTCTGAGTGTGATCAGATACATCCTTTTGCACGTTATAAGGTAATCTTTTAATTAGATGCTCAATAATTTTTATCATCGATATTGATTTTCATCATATCAACATGCAATTAAGATATCATGAATCATAAAAGTATTGGGGATTTTACATACATAACTGTTGAATTTCAGTACAGGTGATACAAAACCAAGCAGAAACCGTGGAAGGAAAGTTCAAAACAACGTCAATTGTTTCATATATTATCATCCAAATTTTAGCACCAACATAAGAGTGTAGAAGGGGACAGAACCTGTACAAGTGCCGAGGTAGTTATGGAGAGAGGTAAGACCAAATCAGGTAGTTATAATCGAACGGTTGACAATGTATCCGTGAAGGGTGTATTTTTTTTTTCCATGAAGGGTGTCAGCTGGACTGTATATAGAGGAATGAGACCACTTCTATTACAAGCAAATTTATTTAACCACATCTTTGTCTGTATAATTGTTGCCGCACCGCAAGCAGCTATGCCCAGCTTGGACTATAAGCTTGTCCCGAAGATGTTAAATCCGAGTAGTAGAAAGGGCCCTGGTAACAATGCTAGCTACTTGACCTTATGAGTTGATGTGATGAACAATAATATCATTGAACTTAATACAATGTGGAATAAAGTGGAAATCAATTGCAATATGTTTTGTTTGAGAGCAAAAAAAAAAGATTGTTTGCTACAGCTAAATCTGAAATATTATTACAACAAATTAGTAGGTTAAGGTAGAGCAATACAAAAATCCCAAATGAGAACTTTTAATCAAAGCCATACATTGCCTTAGTAGACTAGCGAGCCACATTAGATTGTTTTCTGAACAACCCAAGAAATGAACAATAACTAGTAGTAGATTTCTGATTTAAGGGATCACTAGCCCAATTAGACTTTTAGAAAGAACCTCATCATGTGCCACAGTGCTAGAATTTGGCAATTGAATAGGTGATGACCAGCTTGCCTTACCTCTTAACGACGTGTCTATGAAACAGAAATCAAGTGTTCTTGTTTCTTCACCATCACTAGATGGGGGCATCCCCTATTCTTCCTTTCATAAGAAACTTGGAGTCTTCGAATAGTCCTCCCGGCAAGCTTCAGAAGTTCTGGAACCTAGCAAAAAAGCACTCAGTCAACCACGACTCTCCAAAAGATGAGAACATAGCTATTGAATTTAGGAACATAAAAAAGAAACATATTGCATACATGTCATTTTAGCCCTGAAAGGAACCGTCGATTGCTGTGAGAAAGGAGAAGTGGTCAAATGTGGATGAGAACTGTTCGCCCTCAGCTTCTTCTTAGTCACCTTAGCAGCAACCACCACCCTTTGCTTTGCCTCTTTAGCATTAGAGGATTCCTATGACCCATCAAACATGGCGCCAACCATCTCACTCCACAAGACTTTATTCAGAACGTCAGCCTTTAGATATTGATGCAGCGACATCTCTTGGCCCTTGATCATGTACCCATACTTTGTCATGGAATCTGTTAATGTCTTCACTTGGGGAGCATGCGACAGGTCGGATGCCGACACGCTATCTTAGACTTTGAGAAAGAATGAAGCTTAAAGGAAGCTTCATAAACGTGATAAAACATCGTTTAGAGTCCCCTTAATGTAACAAAGAAGTTGTTCGAGTAATTGAAATGTGCATTAGGCTAACTAGTTGGTACATCATCAGTTGCAGAAGATGGGAGAGAATGTTTAGAGGGTTGTAAAACATTATGTCGAGCAGTAGGAACAAGTAAGTGGTGGGATGTAGGAAGATTTAGTGGAGCTTATTGGAGAAGGTGGAGTGTGAAAAGGAAATTGTTCCTCATGAAAACTAACATGTCTATAGATATAAACTTTGCCAGAAATAGGATCAAGAGATTTATAGCCTTTGTAGTTGGAATGCATAGCCATGAAAGACACATGCAAAGGATTTGACAACAAGTTTATGAGAAAAATAAGCGGATAACTAGGGATAACATAAACGCCCAAAGGTCTTAAGGTGATTTTAGAGGCTTATTAGAGGAGTTGAAATGGAGACAAATTATTTGTATTTGGGGGAGGCAATTCATGAGATATGAAACCATAAGAATAGTATCCACCCACCCATAGATTAGAAGGGAATTGAGCATCAAGCATGAGTGTACAAACTATCTCAATCAAATGCTTTGTTTGTGCTTAGCAATACCATTTTTATACAGATGTATAATGAAAGCTGCTCTTGCGATGAATTCCATGGAATGTAAGTAAATGTTGTAAAGTGTTACTAAAAAAATTAGCACCACCATCAGTGCAAATTATCTATTTTTGGTATGAAATTGAGTTCAACAAAATTTTAGAAATTCTAAATTTTAGCTGTGATTTCATATTTCATTTTCACAGGAAACTTCTAACAGTATTAAGAGAAATCATCAATTAGTGAAATAGAGTATGTATAATCTTGATTGGACAAAATTGGGGAAGGTCCCCATGCATTACTATGAAGTAATTAAAAAAGAAAAAAATGATTGAGAAGCATAAGAAAGAAAATGCTATCTATGACTTTTAGCAAGAGCACATGCAAAACAGTAGAATGTGTTGTTTCTAATTTTGTGACAGCTACAGTGTCAAAGTTGTTGTTCTTGGGTGGGGATGGCTGGATGTCCGAGCCTTCTATGCCAAAAAGTAGGATCATATGATGAGCTCGGGAGAGCAACCAGTTTGGTAGATGAATTAGCTGAATGTTTAACCAGATATACTCCTTAATGACAAATTTTATGGAGGAGAACTTTTTTGGTCATGTGATCCTTAACAACAAAAACTAAATTTATCAAATATTATGGAGCATGAGTTATCACTAGTAAGCTGATGAACTGAAAGCAATTTAATAGAGAGGTTTGAAATACATAACAATGGATGTAGGTGAAACGTGTGGCTAGGAGTATAAATTATTCTTTAACACAACGAGCATTGAGAAATTGATCCAACTTTTTCAAAAATGTGACAAGTAATTACAACAATATAAGTTTAACTACCTCTAAATGAATTTGATCTTCCTTGAGTTCTTTTATGATTAACTCTATATAAGGTATTAAAATATCTGCTAAAATTGGCATATTGAGAGGAAGATCAGTCGCAACCTCTAATATTAGTGAAAGCGATTTGAGAGCCTGTAAGATTGGTGAGTGTGAGTTCTTTTGTGGCTTCAACAGCAAGGATTATTTCTTCATTACATAAGAGTTAGTAGAATTCATCTAAGCGAATGGGTTGAAGATTTTTCCAAATAACCATTTTAAAAACATGATAAGTGGACATAAACCATTAAGAGTATGCAAGAGATATCTTCTGAATTGATTGGAGAGCCTAATACAATAATTGCATCCACTTTTTTTTCAGAGATATATTGCATCCTAGATTTATCCTTTGAAATAGTAAGGTGCAATTTAATTTTAAGAAATATAATTTGAGAGATATTAGTAGATTGAAAACGCCTTTCAATAGTTCTCTAGATATCCACACAAGAGTCACATTTAAGAAGGTAAGGTAGAAGAGTAGCTGAGATGGTAGAATCTTATTTTGAAGCTAAAATTTGATCTACAAGAATCCAAGTATTGTAAGATGGATTTTGAATAAGAGTTCCATCCTCATAGGTTATTTGATGAGCAGGTTTTGAGCAAGAACCATCAAGATAGCCCTCAAATCCATTTGCTTAATCAAATTTAAGGTATGGAATTTTCAAATAAGATGATTGTATGTAGAGAGTTGGACATTGACGACAAACTTAAAATTTTTCATAAGAAAACTCAGCTAGGGAGAGTCCTAGAAACATCATTTGTTTGTACCTGAGTGGTATATGAATCTCTAGCTGCAGAGTTAAGAGAATCGTCCATAGTGGAAGAAAAATTGAGAAGATCGATTTGTGAAATAAAAATAGGGAGCATCTAGTTATACTTCTTTAATACCATGTTGAATTTCATTATAGATAATACAAAACCAAGCAAAAAGAGTAACAAAGGAAAGACATGAATTTTAGAACAACCACAATTGTTTCGTACATCATCATCCAGTATTAAAATACCAAGATAAGAGTATATAAGGGGATAGAACCTATACAAGAACAGATGTAGTTTTGGATAGTGGTGAAGACCAAACCATGTAGTTATATTTAAGTGGTTGAGATAGTATCTAGAAGAATGAGACTTTTGTTACAATCAAATTATTTTACCACATATTCATGTATATGCTTATCAATAACAACTAAAACGTTATAAAGGTAACACCTAAATTATATACATGTAGCACATCAAAAATAAAGTATTTATATAGGTAACAGCTAAATTTCTTTAAACATATCAACATAAGCACTCCATAATATGTCTACGTCATCTTCTCCGCTTAAAACATGCACATACTTCTCCAAAAATTCTATAGTCTATTGTAAAATTTCTCCAATTCATGAACTGCTCTATCCCTTCTACAATCAATGGAAAAATATCTCACAAAGAAGTACCTTAACATAGTATGTCAACCTGGGTGCACTTCTCTTCTCCACTCTCCTTCAGTGATCTTCACTATTAAAGTACAACTTTAATCTTTAGCTTCTTATGCCTCTTTTACAATTTTATGCATACCACTTTATTGGAAGATTTCATTCTTGGTTAAGGCTATGATGAATCATTTCCTTATCAATTTTCTTAGATAGCCACTTGTATTATAAGGTCTTAAATGTTACTAGCACTTGGGATCCCTTATCTGTTGGCTCTATTGCCTTCTTTTTACGAGAATTTTGTTGGAGCATACATCTAAAGCAC